CCCCAAAAACCCCAAAACCCCAAAACCCCAAAACCCCAAAACCCCAATGTTTGTTAAAATATTGAGAAAATAATAACAATATAATTAAAATGAAGAAGTCAGAGTTGGAAACCAAGGGTATTACTCAGTTGTCAGTTAAGGTGAGTCCTCCGCACAAGCTAGATGATTTCAAGGAAGTTAGAGGCAAACTGTCCTGACTCATTCATCAGCACACTCATGTGAGTGAGACTGATAACATGGCGCCTGTCAATTTAGTGCAAAGTAATACTGAAGTAATGCAATTGTTGGCTGAGTTAAACGAAGGGGCCGTTCAACTCATCAAAGCTGAAAGCTTTTAGCGAAGCCTTGGATGCACTAAAGCAGGCCGAAGAAAAGATTTCAACTCTCGACAACATCCACCCGGACGAAGAAACCTACATCATAACCGTATTCTACAACATTGCTTGCTGCCATCAAAAGCTGGGAGAGCTCCAGAAATGAAATGCATATTTGAAATTGACGATTCAGCTACTCAAATAAACTATTTACAAAGCGATCTGAGAACAAGAAAAGTGCAAAGCGAAAGCTAGCAGAAACTCTGCTGAAACTCAAGTATAATGCAAAGTTCCACCTCCAGCTCTGAGCCATTCTGAGTCAGCTGAATGAGCATGATGCAGCCATCGAAGACGCCAAGAAAGCCAGCGAGTACTGACAAGAATCTCTGAAGACCTCCAATGATTTGTGAATTGAAATCATGAAGAAGAAGTACTCGACCAGCAAGTATGACGTTGTCGAACATGGACACTTAGCAAGGAAAGGCAGCAAAAGCGAGAACAGGTCGAACTCATTTGAAAGGTCCTATGACTCAAGGAAGTCCACAATGAACGAGCTTTACAAAATGAAGAGCAACAGAACCAACAGGCGTGACCGGTTCATTAATAAGAAAGGAGCCAAGAGAAATTACAATGGCTACCAAGCCAACTCTTGAACTAAACACAAAAGGAAAGAACTCTCACACAGCAGGAAGTCGAAGAGTGAGAAGAGCAGAAGCAGACACTCTTCGATTTCAAGCTCGACAAGCCTGGTCATCAGAGAGAGCATCGAGAGTGACGTGCTTGACCAGATCCACTCGTTTAATTTAAAAAGAGCCTCTATAAACTCTCAGAATGAAAGCCAAACTGAGTTCAGTTCTGTCAATATTTCCAACCGAAGAAGCAGTTCGACGTCTTCAGCCCAACGAGCATTCTATGTTTCAGAGCTTGTGAAGGTGCAAGATGCAGAACTCGAAAAGTCTATCGGAGTTTTAGATGAAGTCCTGGGCCAAATCAAAGAGTTCAATAAAATAAAATCGATGAAAAGTGACAAGCGGAGAGAGTATCTTCAACACCGACTTGGAGAAAAGAAAAGGCTCCGGATATCTTTTTCTAGTCAGGAAGAAATTGAAAGGATGAAAACAGACAATCAGTACAAACTCAACGTCAGGAGTGCTCTCGGCATCATGAAAACTGATGATTGGATTTTTAACTTGAACATTGGCAATGTTATGCACATGACACCGATCGGCTTTGACGACCTTCACTCCAGCCTTAACTTAGAATCTGTTTCAAAGAGATGCGAATATGAGCTGTCTAAAGACAGCCTGCTTGACAAGATTGTGTTGCTCACAGTTGCATACTTCTGAGTGGGTACCGAGCTTAGGTTTCTATCAAACAGTAACAAAGATAAGTATGTCCAAAAAGACTCAGAAATGTGGCATGCTAAGGCTCTGCACACATCAAGTGCTTTTCTTCCTTCTGACTGACCTTTGGTATCCCATGTTATGAGTAGCTATGTCAAGCATCATCTTGGACCGAAACTTGAAGAGCGCAAACTCCAGCAAGAAAGCATGCTCTCAGTAAGCACCAATATTCCGTCTAAAGGGTCCCACAATCCTGGAGTGTTCTCATCGAAAGAAGATGACTCAGAAGTGCCAGATGAGCGAAACACCGGTGACTCGAACAAAGTCTTGAACTCGTTCAAAGCTCAGAATATTCATCATTCTGCTTTTGGAAATCGTACCAACTATAAAAAGCACAAAGAAACACAGGGATTGTTTAACCCATCAGCAGAGAAACCATCCAAACACTTTGGAAAGCCACGCAACTACATTACAAACAAGAGCCACAAAGGAACTCCTAAGAAGTTTATTGACTTCACGACTTACCTTAACAGCAAGAAGAAGCAGACTGCTCCACACAAACTCAGCAAATCAGCTGGCCAGAAACTTTGAAAGAAGCCCAGCAAGGTCACTCCAAGCAGCAGAAATGCAACCAAGCCTCAGTGTCCAGTCAGGTCGAATGAGAATCTAAGGTGTCCGAAGCCATCTCAGAAGCTGAACAGGTCTCAGAAAACCAGACACAAAGAAGCCATGAACAAGATCCTCAAGAAGTATGACTTCAGAACCACAAATGTGGTCAAGTCGATTGCTTGTAAATAAAGAGCCGCCCAAGCCCAGTCGATGCGACAAGAAAGTCAAAAGCATCAAAATGAGTTTGCACAAGAAGTCTCATCAAGAGTTCAAGTCTAAGTACAGATCTGTCCACATGGCTGGGAGTTCATCTGGGTGTAGCAAAGGCGTGAAACTCAAAAGCAAAGACCTGAGCAGAAAGAAAAGCAGTTCGTCGTCTCCAGATATAAGGACCACACCGAATAGCACTTCCATGGCCAAGAAATTAAGTAAGAACGATTTTGGATATGTTAATCCCAAGAGGAAATCTTATAATACGAATAATCCTTTAAAGAAATTGAGTTCCAAGGAGGCAACTTCCAAATAAAACAACGGAAGCTAGTATCAAGTCAAGTGCTCTCGACTCAGGCAGGAGCTCAGTCATGTCGAGTCTAGCCAAGACTAGCGCCCAGTATAAGAAAATCAGCAGCAAGAACTCTCAGTCTTTCATTGAGTCTCTGACGAAGAAAGCAAACCCACGTAATAAAGACAACTACAAGACTGGAAATTCTCGAAATGCAGAGGCTCGACCTCATGCTGATAAGAGTAAGCTTAAGAACCTGTCATATTTGCAGTAATTACTCGTTTAGGCTTGAAAAGCAACCCGAACAGCAGTGTGTTACTGAAGACCCCTAAAGTGTCTGTAACCCACAAGAAGTACAGAAAGAACTTCAAACTAACAAGTAAAGGACAAATAAATCCTCGGAAGCAATACAAGGAAGTACTATTGTATTCTATCTCAAAAGAATGAGTGGCTAAGAGCATGAGTGATAAGTTATAGCACAATTTCAAGCACAGTTTTACAAGAAAGAAGATTTCTAATTAATTTTTACTTCTTTCAATAACTCCTTCAAGTTAAGGGGTTTTGGGGTTTTGGGGTTTTGGGGTTTTGGGGTTTTGGGGTTTTGGGG